TTTCAAGTTAGTCCTGCAACCAATTGTACAGCCCAGAGTTATAAAAAAGGGCGATTATTAGAGTGGAGTGATTGAGAAATGTTCCCAATTAAGTGAGCGCTTATTCGAGTGAATACATTACACATGCCATGAGCGAGGGAGATTTAAAAATTCCATTTTAGTAACATGTTTCCTATTATTTGACCATAAATAACCTTTGACCTGAAATATACTCTGAAAACTGTCACAACTGGTAGGCATCTCCATCACATAGTAATTAGAACCCTTTTTTTAGAGCATGCATTGAGTATAAGGATTTATTATCGAAATCGTCATTTGACCTCAAACGACCTCTAACCCCTCCCAGACATTTAGAAAATGACTTTCCCATTGTTTTCCCATTGTCCCATAAATCAAACTCTGAGAATGTCATGCTTTTGTCACAAAGCGATGGTTTAGCCACTATGTAGGTCTTGGCTGCTTCATTCGAAGTAAAAAAAAAAGTATTACATTGTGGGCGAAGATGTTTTGTTGTTACATTTGTGGGCGTTATCACATAGCCGAGAGAGCAGCTTAGCTCAGTCGGCTAATCTGGTGGTAGCCACTGTGTGTGCGCTGAACCGTGGAGATCTCTAGGTCCCCGGTTCAATTCCCATCGCTGCCTCTCCTTGTGTTTCAGCTAGAGGGCTGAAATACAAGTTACAATACCGCACCATCTTTCGGATGAGACGTTTAAGCCGTTGGTCCCGTGTGCATTTATGGCCCATGTGCATTTATGGCCCATGTGCACGTTAAAGAACGCAGTACACTTTTCGGAAAAGAGTAGGGGATTGTCTCCCGGTGTACTGTTTGATCACCACTAGAAGGACCCCACTGGAAATAAGTCTTATTCTAGACTTTCGTGGGCTATCCTAGGTGTTTTCACCGAATAAATCCAATTTAAAAGCCGATGATCGTTATTACATTTGTGGGCGCTTTTTATTACATTTGTGGGCATTATTACTTGTTGGCGCTGTGTTGTTAAGTTTGTGGTTGTTAATACATACGTTCAACAAGGACGCACTTCCCTGAAAAATATTCGCGTCAGGTTAAGAATCATCTTATTTTGAGCTAGCGCCCCTCCACCTAAATAAGCAGGTATGCAATGGGAGTTTCGGCAGGACGAGGCAAGTCAACCAATTAAAATGAGAGGAACTGCACCCCGAATTCATGATGAATCTAAGTTCCGCAGGGATTTTTTTCGTCACCAACAGCGACTGGCCTGTTTTTTTTTTCTCTCTTTAGTGGGGATTAAACCCACATTTATTTCTTCTTTTCTCTTTGATTTTCATAAATCATGTCATAAAATATCCGTTTTATATATTTACAACAAGCTTAAAAATGCAAAGGCTCATTGTATACCATAAGCTTAAAAATGAAAAGGCGCATATGCATACAATTAAAAGACAATTTTTTACGTGCATGTAAGCCTATACCTTATCTACTTATATTTGTATACATTTACATTTGTACATATTAAAAAGGGTCAGTCCTGATGGCTGACTAATCAACGCATTCTTAATATTTCTTATTGTATTCAATATCAAATAGTCTTGACGTGGAATCCAAGTTCCATTTACAATTATATCTTAAAGTACGTGCTTTGTATAAACAAAATGTTCCAAGACTGTATATCATACTTAATTGTTTGGTTTCAGAACCAAGTACAATGTTCAAAAAAGCTGGTTCTAAGTTAAATTTGTTTTTTATAAAATTCCACATACTTTTAGCTTCTTTACATTCAAAAAAATAATGTATTTCATCGTCAATTCCATTACATTCAGTGCACAGATTGTCGTCAATAATTTTCCATTTGTGTAATAACTTTCTTGTGGGTACAATCATATGTAATAATTTAAAGTTTAGCTGTCTAATACGGTTTTCTTTAATACATTTTACTTTTCGGTTCCAAACATTATACCAGTCAATATTGTCTTGGTGCAACACTTGCTCCCATTTAAATTGGGTCTTTTGTAGGGAGCTCAACAACATTGTTTACTAACACTGTATATATTTGTTGTATTTTCATACTTAAAACTACATTTTTATTTACTTTTGCTTTTTCAATATTTTCTACTTTGTGTGTGCGGATAATACTTTTCCATTTATTTGGTACTGCCATTTTAATTGTCGCGTATTCTGAAATCCAATTATGTTTCACCTTCAATTTGCTCACAAGCTCTTGCTCAGGAATAAACATATTATTTCTAACTATATCTTTTTATACATATGTTTTTGTTACCTCATAGACTTTGTTCCATTATGGCATTGTACGTTTGTGGATAACATAATTGGCTTTCATTAACGCTTATGATTGCTTTAGCAACCGAGTTATAGAAAGGTGGCAATTTTATATTTTGTGGAAGCTTTGTAAAATTCAAAGTAACATTTATTGGTCCAATTTCTTCAAAGTAATTTATTGGTAAGTATTTCCATTTTGCATCATCATTTTCATAAAGACGTTTGAACCACTTTATTTTTAAAGCCGTTACTTGTGCACTAAAATCAGTGACTCTAAGCCCACCTTGACAATAGTCTGCATACATGGTGCTTCTTTTTATTTTATCTTTTTTTTATTTTTCCATATGAATTTAAATATTATTTTTTCAACATCTATTATTATATTTTTCGGTATATCAAGAATACTTGCATTATAGACAAGTTTTGATAGGGCTAGCGACTGGCCTGTTTTTATTCAATACGTTAAAACCAGTCGGTCGAAGCATTTTATCGGGATGTCTTGCTATAAAAGGCCAAGCTTTTGACAGGCCTACAAATTCATAGGAAAATGCATTCCCCGACAGTACCTTTTTCCGGGAGTCCTTTTTATCCAATTGTATCTACCACAACATCAAGTCTGCTAAATTATTTTGTCTAAAGGCTTACGCTCCTTGTACCCCGACTACAGAACAACTTTGGTCTACGGACCCATATTAACTCCCCTCGAATGAACTCACCTCGATCGCTTTACTCCTATAACTCTCAAACTGATCCACCATCTATGTCATTATCATCATAAGCTAAAGCCTCATTATCATCATCATCATAATTTGTCTTAAAATGTGGTGTGTTTTTCATCAATTTACGTCCGTCTGGGCCCATTATCAAGAATTTTATTTCGAAAGATCTGCCTAGTTGTTTACTCAGGAATTACGAGAAGATATCCTTACGTTTTATCAAAGCTGAACTGGATTATAATTTCTTACATAATTGCAAAACTTTCGGCATTTTCCCGAAATTAATTTGTTTCAAACTACATAATGTTCATGCAAAGGAAGTGCATGCGATACACTGAAAATTGAACATTGGAAGAAAAGTAAGCAACAAAATAAAAGTCGACGACCTTTACAGAACTTTTTCTTTTCACAACTTTGTAATGTAAAGCTAAGGTGATACATATACATGAAAAGAAACTCCGAAACTTAACTGGAAATTTTACATTACCGTTTAATGCAAGTGACACTGTTACACATCTTTCTTCAATAACAATTACAAAGGTTTGAATTTTTCGATTGTACCAAAAAAAATCAACAAGGCTGATGTTTATACATGTTTCGAAACTATAAAACACACACGCACTTAACTGACCAGTGTGAGTGGCACATAACATTGATATACATTCAAATTTTAAATATTTAGGGGCAAAACTGGATCCGCCCCTTCATTGACGCTGTTATCGTTAATGATTAATCTTGGCAAAAAATATCCCGCAGTAGTTGCCATTGTTTTCTGCAATAAGTGATGCCTTTGTTTGAACGTCAAATCTGCTAGTAACAGACCCTTCGTTTTCCAGGGACACTGGAAACACTTGCTCAATCTTGGTTGAAGCTTCCTATCAACGTGGTGGGTTGATTCATCTTCAACGCTCCAACTTCCGCAAACAACGCAAATATTACTAATAGTTTGAGACACACTTAGGTTGAAGCGGTTTATATATGGATATTAGCTATTGCAAACAATTACAACAATTTTATTTTTTTCAGATATTTAGCCCCCTCATTTTTGGGTTGAATTACGAAAATATAAAGTTTGTTTTCAGCGAGATTTGAGCTGGCTTCTGAGGAGTCATTTCTTTACGACGTCCAGCGGCGTAGCTAGGTGCGAAAGGCCCCAATTGCAAGATTAATTGCTGGGCCCTTTATTGTGATAAGGGAATTACCTAATTTTCGCAGAAAAGAATAGCTTCTTTTACCCCCTACTTCTAAAGACCTAGGTTAGTAGTAAACACTAATGATGATCGGATTTGTGACTATTTTAAGAGGGAAATATACGGTCTCAGCACCTTTTCTAAACTATTCAAGAAAATTGGTGGCATGTAAAAACAATTGCAGTGGTGGATCATATAATTCGAAATTAAGGGACCAGGGAGGGATTTCCACAGGTCAAAGCCGAAGATTATAATTATAGCGCCTCTAAATGGCCGGAAATGGTACTCTCAGACTTAAAATATAAGAAATATAATTTTCAACAGAGTTGGACCGGCTGGGCGACTTTTTAATACAACACTGAATCAACACAGTAATCAATAATTATCCTTTAAAACCGAATATTATTGAGGGGCCCACTAGCCGTTTTTCTTCTTCAAAATTAAGATGGAAATTATTTTAAATTATTATTTTAAAGTCTAATTATGAATGGGCCCCCACTGCCCGTAGCTACGCCACTGACAACGTCATAACTATATAAAGAATAGGAAAAAACGACCCCACAAACAGGATTTTATGGTAGTGCAGAGGGTGAAGCAGACAGAACTTTTTGATACAGTGACAATCGTAAAAAAAGAATTCACGCTCTGATGAGCGTGAATCACCGTTCACCCGTCTTCCCGTCCTGTTGCGTAAAGTGATAAATGACTAACCTCTTAAAACCTATCTTCATTCTAGGTTTCTCTGAAATCATCTTTATTAGCCCCCCTCCCGTCCCCGAAGGAGCGCAGCTATTGTTTTAAACCAAATTTACACTAGTTACCACGATAACTAAACTCCGATTGGTTTCAAACTCTTACTTATCAATCCTCATAGAAACATCACACCATGGTAATGCTATGCTTTTACCGCGCATCGTAAAAGGAGCATTCCTTGCCCATTCTATAAAATGTTTAGCTAATATAACGACGTCTCACTTATCAATTTTAAAGTGTTGTACCCTCCCCATCACCCACCCCCATCCCGTTTGAAAAATTCTAGATCCACCTTGCTCATGAATAAAAATGACAGTTTCCATCCAAATCGGTGAAAGCTTTCTTTCGTCTTGTACAGTAATCACCTCCTGCCACATAAAAAAAAAAAACCACCTGTGACTATTTGATAGCTTATGCTTATTCATTTATCTTTCCAGAGACAGTTTTTAAGAGCAGCCAGGATAACAAACCTACATATCGGTAAATTGGATTTTAATTCTGTTTTAAATATATTACTTGTTTCTAATACAGCAGTTCATTCAATAACGCTTTTACTTATACATAGCACTATCTTCCATTATATTTAACATTGAACCTCTAAGAACAGCGCACCCAAACAAACAAATTAAATAAAATAAAAAATTGTGTGACCAATTTTGTTGCACACCATTGTATTTTCTAACAAAATAATCGTATAGATTTAATTTTTCTAAGCTTAAGTTCGATGAATTTATATAAGTAGTATAAAAGAATAGTTGTTTAAAAGGTTTTTTTTTAGGTTTAATTTTTTTATTGTAATGTTTTTCTTTGAGTTGTTTTATAGTGTACCTGATGTTGTGCAAGCTGTAATGACACCAAATATTTTTTTTTCTCTTTTGTGGGAATCACCACTTTTATTTCTATTCTTTTTCATTTAACACAATTACAAATATTTATACAAAATCACACTACGGTTACAATATTACCTAGTAACCATTGGGATGTGCAAATGACACCAAATATTGGATAGGTTCCTGTACTTATGGTTTTAAATAAAATAATTGGAAAAAAATAATAAAAAAGTTTATCACCACAATTTTGTTTTGAAGATTTTTATTTGAGTAAACCAAAAGCAAAACATCATTGCATACCTGCAATGTTTCAGATGCTACCTTGGATATTCCTTAAGCTAGTGCTTGCCGGTGTAGCACGAATTTTAGTTCCATGCAAATTTGAGTATTTCGTGGTCTGGATGATCAGAGCCTGAGCACAAATTTGCAACACACTGGGTAAAAAAATATTGAATATGTCTATGTATTAATTGCAAAAAATAAAGTAACTAAAGTTTATACAATCGAGCATGTACCTTATGTTCAACTTAACTCCACAGTTTAAAAAGCACAACAAATTAACCTGGAATGTTAATAAATCCAACAATTTAACTCAAAAAGTTTTAACTATAGGCCTACAATTGAGTCTATCCAACGCAGATGTATCTGTGCCGGGTGCAGGATTTGGCGGTAGGGGATGCGTGAGAATCCACACCATGGTTGGGGCTGAGGTGAGAACATTAAAGAATAGGGGCCTCAAGGTGTCCGGAAATTGCACTCTCATACTTTTAAAATCTGACCGGAACTATATTTTTAATGATAAAAATAATATATCAACAATTTAATACAACAATTAGTTTTCTTAATACAATTTGGTTAGGGGGGGGGGTGTGAACGATCGCACCGTCTGCACCCCTCTGCACCCGCCCCTGTGTATAGGAGTAATTCTACCTGGTACCCCTTATACAAATGCTTGCCTGCCAGACGACATACACAAAAAATGTATTTATAAATAATTATCTTGAGGTGTGTGTTGTTAATAATTGCTATATTTGTAGGCCAACTGATAGTTGACATTTATTTTCTTAGTAATCATATCTAAAATTTCGCTAACTTTAATGCACCTTCATATTTACCTGGTAGGTACTGTGAAATTTACGTATTGTGTACGTTATATGCAGTTTAATATTGGATTTACCTTTTTCTATTTACATTGTGCTTGTAGAGAAGAACTATTTTTTTATTACTTTGTCACCATAATGAATCATAATATTTAGAACTGGTAGTGCGGGTGTCTTTGCCGATGGCATAGCCGGGGTCGGGGGCTGAAATCTTGGTACCCTGAAATAATAATATTTTTAACACTATTATTCATTAATAATTGAAAATAGTAATGATTCTATTATTATCTTTATTATTACCCAGTCAGCAGCATGCTGACTGGGTTCTGTTTCCGAGCAGTTTCTTCTTTATCTCTTTCTTTCTGGCAACATTTTAAAAGGCTCCTAGTGGCAAACTAATGGACCGATTTAATTAAAACTTGGTCAGTAGGACTGGTGCCACCTCCCATTTATGTGTTGTTCACAAATTTGGGTCAAAGGTCTCATAAGGGGCATTAGGGTCAAAAAACCAAAAATCGTATAAAATACTACCTGTCTCACAAATAACGTAGCGCAGTCTTGTCCTTTGCACATATACATTGGCATAAGGCAGAGTCTATAGGGTGTTCAGGGATAAGGAGTCAAAGGTCATTAAGGGGTAATTTTTATCTTTTTTCTGGAAACATTTCAAAACGCTACTAGTGCCAAACGGTTGTGCCGATTTCAACCAAACCCGGTCAGTATAACCGGTGACACCTCTCATACATGAGGTGTTCACTGCTTGGGGTCAAAGGTCACATGGGGTCATTAGGGTAAAAAAATTTCAAAAAAATGAATAAGACTTCTTCTGTCCCAAAAACATAGCACAGACTTATCCTGGGCACATATGTATTGGCATAAGGTAGGGTCTCTATGGTGTTCAGAGATTTACGGTCAAAGGTCATTACAGGGTTATTTTTTTGTTCTCTCTAGTAACATTTCAAAATGCTATTAATACCAAATCATTGGACGAAATTCAATCAAATTTCGTCATAAGAACCGGCGACACCTCCTACACCTCAGTCTGGGGTCAGGGTTACATAGGGGTCATCGGGGTCAAATTTTTAAAATAGTCCAATTGAGCTCGAATTTACCAGGAATGATCCTTAGGACCTTCTAAACATGAAAAACGATTCTTCACCTATAGGTCAAAATTAAGTAACGAGAGTCACTATCAAATCATAATGAAACCTTGAGGACATCTGCTCACTGAACAGTTCACTGCACACTTTAACACAGTAAAAGTCCCTTTTCTCACAAAATCGACTATATAATTTGAATGGTTTCATTTGGCAATCTGGGGTGATTGGATTATGAAACTAGATGTTTTAAGCTTTATAATCATCTACATATTTTTACAAATAATTCAAAATTGAGTGATCATTTTTCTTTCAAAGTTGACTATCTCTTATGCTTTTGCATAGGAAAAAGGTTAAAATTAGAGTGTTTTATTTTTTGGTATACTTCCTGCTTCTTTTTACCATAAATCTGCAACGACAGGTCGATAAACTTCGGGGTAAACGGTCAATTGTAACTTTGGGGTAAACGGTCAATTGTAGCTCATAAATTAAGCTTTCTTTTACCATGTAAGTCCCATGCTGGTTGCTTAAATAACCATTGATCATTTTTTTCTTTAAAATTTTTTATTCAGAATTGTTTTTACCCTGTCTATGAATGACGTCACGCGCTTAAGGCCAAATGATAGCAGCTACGAATTTCGAGTTTTCTGCGGTTAGTGCGTTCGTGCGTAAGATGTAGGTCAAATTTACCTGAATGAGCTTTTGTCGCAAATAGAGGAAAAGTTTTCATTTTGATTGCTAATGACTAATGATTGGACCAATTGCATTAGACAGATTCCTACCAAACATGGGGTGTTCACACAGGTTGAGCTTAAAAGTCATAGTAGTTTTCTCTTAAAAAATGACTGGGTTCATGTTCTATTGAACATAGTATCTCTAGTTATTGTTGTTGTTGTTGTTGTAGTTGTTGTTGTCGTTGTTGTTGTTGTTGTTATTGTTGTTATTATTATTATTATTACTTTTATTATTATTATTATTATTATTATTATCATATTCTTAGATTTTTTAAGTTTTTATGGGTGGCTCTTATGCTAGCGGCTGTTGCAGCCATAATAAGGGTCTCCCAGATCCATTTATCTCTTTAATATTTTCAGTACTGTGATACTGGGAATGCGAATGGGATTGTGCAAGAGATATTTTACTAAAAAGGACCCGCAACATAGGCTTCACCATTTATTTCCACCCCCAACCAATCATGACCACAACCTCAGGCATGAGAAAGACTTTGACTTGCCATATGCTAACACCAATCGCACCAAATATTACTCCCTTTGTCTCCTTAGTGCCAGCTGTCGTATTTAAGTGCATTTTAAATAGATTTTTCCTAAATTTAATTATAATAATTATTAATAATAATTTAATTATAATAATCAATTTCAATAATAATCATATTTCTTATTTCTTAAAGAATTTGTCTGATAGTTTGATAAAGATTCATCTATCCAAGATGTAAATAGTATAATATTTTGAAATTTTAACACTGGATATATTTTACGAGCTTGCAAACTTTCAACTTGTCTGATTTTTTGATTTCCTTAGTGTAAGTTAAATTTAAATGTTTTTATATTTCTTAAATCTTTATACATTTAAATATTTTTGAAAATTTATTTATTATGCATTTGCTTATTTAACTTTGTAGTCTTTCCATTTTCTAGTCTAACCTTTTTCATGCTCCGTATTTCCTATGTTTAACTTCAATTTGATTCCTTACTGTATATTATAGTTTGTTGATAGAAATTGCAATTAAAGTATTTCGTATTTCGTATTTACAATTTAAAAATGTAAATTGAAGATACAGTATCAAAATTAAACAGAGGAATTACAAAAATCTTGTAAAACAAGATAAAACACCAACATCATAAATATATATAGGCCTATATATATATATATATATACATTTATATATATATATATGAATACACACATGCACACATATATACATAATATACATCTAAACAGGTAGGCCTACATACATTAGATATACATATGCATGTATACATATACACTTACCCAAACACATACAGTATATAAGTAATAATGTTTAACTGTTATTGTGAATGTTATAAGGCCTACACTACGTTTATATATGATGTACATACTGTATATGTACATACATAATATATGTATATGTATATGTATATAATCATCAAAGATATGTAAATACAGTGTTCGAATAAAGGACATAATACAGCTATTATATCTTACACCCAGGCTAAGGTTGATGAGTGTGGTACCAACCAGAAACTCCTATTCAGAGTTGCCAATAAGCTCCTTGGAAGAGGGAAATCCGAAGTGTTTCCATTCCAGAAATATTCAGCTGGCTATTGACTTCAATGCCTTCTTCATCAATAAAATGAAGCAGCTTCGTCATGACTTGTCAAGCCTCTTGCCAATCAAACACTGAGGTAGAGCTATCCCGCTCTCTAACACTCCGTATTAATCCTGACGGATTT